AGCGCCACCAGGGCAGTATTTCCTCAGGAGGTAATGGGCCCAAAGGGACTTGCCCTCCCTAAGGCGCCACCACATCCTGTAGGAAAACGCAGTAACCATATCAGCGAAACGACGAATCCCGAGCCCACCCTCCGAGTGGGGGCGACAGATAGAGTCCCACTTCACCCAGTGGGTCTGCCGCCGACCTCGCGAGCCCTCGCCATAGCTCCAAAAATAGCGGGCTAAAATCTGATCTAACTCATGAATCGTAGACTGGTGGGGGTCAAGCACCGCGAGAAGGTGAAGAGGAAGGGCACAAAGGGTGCTCTTTATCAGAGCAAGTCGGCCTCCAAAGGATAGGTGTCTATGTGACCAACCAGATATCCGGTCAATCATCCTCTGACGGACGTCAATGAAAAGCTCATGGGAAAGATGGCCTTTGTACAAGGGGGCCCCAAGATAAGGGATGGGGAAATCCCCACGAGCAAATCCAGTGCGCTCGTGGATTTGGTGAGCCCAATGATCTGCAACGTGATGGTCCATGGTAAAGGTACTCTTACTAATATTGACTAGCTGGCCAGATGTCTCACTGTAGTGGTCCAAAAGACTCATGAGAGCAACTAGCCCATTATCATTCGCACGAGTGAAAATGATAATGTCATCCGCGTAAGAAAGGTGGGAGATGGGAGGCCCACAGCCACGTGTGTTGTAGGTCATCCTCGGAAAATCTCGGATGAAGCCGTCAAGGCAGCGAGAGAGATAGTCAGCCACCAGAACAAACAAGGAGGGGGATAAAGGGTCCCCTTGACGAAGGCCTCGGGTAGAAGAGAAAAATGTCGTAGGGCTACCATTAATCAAAACGGAGAATGTGCAGTGTTCAACACACGCCTCCACAAAGCTAATCAAACGGTTGGGGAATCCCATCCGAAACAGTACCTCTCTGAGAAACGAACACTCGACCCTATCATATGCTTTGGCCATGTCTAGCTTCAGCACGAGGTTCGGGGTTCGTGTTCGATTCGCATGAGAGCTATCGTGGATCATCTCCTGAGCCAGTAGGATATTGTCACTAATGACTCGATCCTTGATGAATCCACTCTGGTTCGGAGAGACAAGGTGGGGGAGGAGACGGGCGAGGCGGCCGTTAAGGTTTCTAGAAATGATCTTGTTAGTCACGTTGCATAAGCTGATAGGCCTATAGTCAGACCAAGAATTAGGACCCGATCTCTTCGGGATCAAAATAATGGAGGTTGCCGTGAATGACTCTGGCATCTGGTGGCCAGAGAAAAAATCCTTCACAGCTTCCTCAACGTCAGTACCCACAATCTCCCAGCAAGACTGGAAGAAGAGGGACGAAAAATCATCCGGTCCAGAGACGCTGTTGGGATCTATCCCAAACACAGCCTCCCTAACTTCCTCCTTACTCGGGAGGTCACAGAGGTCAACAAGATCGACCGACTGCGGGATGGTCGGAAAGAGGGTCGGGTCGGGGTGCGTAAGCAAATCCCGCTCAGAGGAAAAGAGAGAGTGGAAGTAGGCCCTAGCCGACTCCCGTATCTGGGACTCCTGGGTCACGGATGACCCGTTATCCTCGACACTATGGATATACGACTTGACTCGCTTCTGCCTCACGAATCCCTGGAAGAACTTGGTATTACGCTCCCCCTCAGCCACCCAGCGCACAGCAGCCTTTTGCTTCCAGAAGTCTTCCTCCATGAGGAGGCGCAACTGGTACTCAGCATGGCAGCGGCGCATCTCGGACTATTCTCTGGCGAAGAATCCAAATCATAGGTTCCTTCTGCCTCCGCATACGCAGTCTGAGCTGCAATAAGGCGCTGAGAAATGTCACCAAAAATCGTCCAGTTCCACTGCTTCAAAACACGGCGAAGTCTCATGAGCTTCTCCTCCAGGTTACGCATCCCATAGAGATGCGTAGCCTGCTGCCAGGAGGCTCTAACAGTATCGTAGTAAGAATTGTGGCGGACCCACATGTTCTGGAAGCGGAAAGACGCTCGTTGAAAGGAAATTGAGAACCGACAACGAATCAGAAGAGGGGCATGGTCGGATCCAATTCGAGGAAGGTGCGTTACAACCGTGGTCGCAAACACCCTCGTCCACGCCTCTGAGTAGAGAGCGCGGTCGAGCCTCTCCTTGACACCGGCCCTCTCCCACGTAAAGGGAGCCCCTTCGTAACCAGCGTCGATGAGCTCACAATCCGATACAGCATGCGAGAAATCTAAGATCTTCGCAGAGCGATCCGATACACCACCAATGCGTTCATCGGGATGCAAGAATATGTTGAAATCACCGCTAATCATCCACGGTAATCCCTCTATACTCTCAGCAATCTCACGCATGGTGTCCCAGAGGTCATAGCGACCAACCCTCGCACAAATGGCGTAAACCAAGGTGTGGAAGATTGGCTCCGGAAGGCGGGCGGCGGTGAGCTTCACGTGCAAGACTTGATCAGTATCGCGGAGGATCAGACCTACTTCAAGAGAAAAGTTGCCATGATGTGTTGTTGCCTTCAAAGAACTATTGAGTTTCAACCATTGAGCCTTATCTGTCCTCTCTAACCATTCCACCCACTCAACTTTAGCTTCTTCTACAAGGAATCTGTCATGGA